ACCAACCAACCAACCCATCAAACCACCAAACCGCCCACCTAACCACCCAACCAACCAAGCAACCAGCCACACAACCACCCATCCATCCGCTCAACCACCCAACGAACCACCTAACCCAACCGCCCAACCACCCAACCACCCAACCACCCAACCACCCAACTAACCAACGAACGTACTACTGTTCGTAATTATGAATATATATTTTTTACAGCCGAGAGACTGGACTCATTGTGTCCGTCGCTTATCGTACGCATTGTGTTGCCATCATCTTTCGCAGTGTCGTCGACTAGCAATTCAGACTGTTCGTAATTGCCAGGTTCACTTATTAAACCTTGCAACACAACATGGGCGACGTTGTTGTTGTTGTTGTGAAAGAGGCTGTGGATGGAAAGGAAATCGTCGTGAGGGAGACGGTGTGTGAGTGCGATACTGAAAACGAAAGAGACTTTGAACACTGGGAAGGGGTTGTCGCTACGAAAACACGTGTGTACTACGCGTTCATCGATGACACCCTCGCTTTGAGGGTCGTGGCAGGGCTGGGGTACGACGACCATGATCGCCTTGATGAGGTTGTAATGCACGCAAAAAAAATTTCGGATGTCGTTCCTGACGCCTGCGAACCCCCCGACTTCGATATGATTGGTCATTTGCTAAGGTGCATCGTGTCAGTCGTTGTGGTCGAGCATGTGGAAAGGTTAGCACCCAACGCATGGTATTTCTCCAAACTCGACCGCCCGCTGCAACGCCGTACTTTTCTCCACGGAGATGTGCGCACTGTGTTGCCAATGGACGGTTGCCGACAACAGTACCAAAGTGTCAACGAACCATCGTCCCGGTCGTCTCATGCTTAGTCTGAAACAGGTGGGTTGAGTCACAAAATCATGAAGGTTTTTAAAATTCGACAGTGTTCAAGACCGCGACTACCCGCTCATCCCATACATATGTTTAAAGTGTGTTCCCCCTCCCCATGCGGTACATGCAGAATATCATGTTTGCGTTATTCGTTGCTCGATTGTTAGGTTCATAACTTACGGTGTCGTTTTCTGTGAATTGCAGCACATTTTTAACGCCACACGAAAGAAGCGACGATGCATTGTCCGCCAATGATTGTCCGATGTTACCACACCACAAAAGTGACAGGCGGCGACACCGTATACTATTACGAATCAATGACTCCCGTAACAGCTCCTGTCGGCGATGCAGCGGGATACCGCAATGGGTACAAGAAGGTGGATCGTCATTTCATTGTTAGCGTGGAGGAGGAACGAGTCGTTATACTCACTACAGAAACTTATATTCGCGACCACGCCATCGAACACGTTCGTGTCCTAATGTCTAAGCCAACCCCGTACTTAAGTACCTTTGATCTCAAACCGGTCGACGGTGATTTCATGTATGATATCGTATTCCTCCTTGTGCATCGTATACTGTACACACGCTACGGGACGGTTGCTCGGAACGACGTCTGGCGCCTGGTCGTGTCACTGCCCTATTTTGTCTCTAATGACGAGGATTTCTCTGCCATGTTTTATCCTTGCAGCGCGACCCAACGATGAGTACCATTCGTAAAATGATGGTTTCAATGATTGTACATTCTCTCTTTATACATATGCAAGCCCTATCTCCCATGTGTTTGTTATATGTTTTTAGTAATTTTTTTTTTTTGCCTACGTTGCGTTTTGAAATATGTTTTCGTTTTCGTTATGTGGAGGTACAGTAGATACAGTACTAAGGTAATCGGTGCCCGTAATGTTCTGTTTTGTAGATTTCAAAAAAATCACACATAAGCGACAGAACAATATTCACCCTTTCAAATACATGGACCGTCGACGACGCAGGGCTGGCGTGCGGGCCGACGCAGTACTATTTGAAAATGGGACAGATACTGATCCATTCCGCGACGAGGAGCTGACAGTCGCCGAGATTAGGAGCCGGTGGCCGGGACCCGCAGCGCTTTTGGAGAAGGCTGTGACTTTTGTTGGTCTGGAGGAGCATTTGCAATAGTGCATGAATCTGCTTATTGGTCGTGCAAATCTCGAACCCAAGCAGAATCGTTACAATGGATATGTCGCTTTTTCTCGGCTGTGCGGGTTCGTCGTTTTCCGACAGAGATTGCCAGATGAGTTCCAAGACGCAATGCGGGAACGATGGCCAGATACAATCATTCCGGGTTTTGAACTACGACAATGTGTTCCTCCTGAAAACGCGCGCCCACGTCGACGTGCACGGCGGTCAATGCTTCACGGGACATAGATAGATAGATAGATAGATAGATAGATAGATAGATAGATAGAAAGAGAGAGAGAGAGAGAGAGAGAGAGAGAGAGAGAGAGAGAGAGAGAGA